AAACTATATGTGAAAATGCCGCACATTACTGAAAGATATCCACATTGTCTCCTTAACGACGGAAAAATGACTGTCAAATCAAAACTTGCTCGGCATGTCACCGTGAATGTTTACCACAGTACACCTATTAACCATGTTTTATTGACATCTGGTGAGTGGTTATTGAGTGACATATGGCTAACATTTATGAAATATGAGATTGAATTAATTTGGTTTTTATAATAGCTAAATCTGTACGCAACGCAACTTATGAGAAATGTAGAAATATGTTTGCTCATATTCATTTTGTGAACGTTTCTTCTAGTATGAACACATCACATCGTTAATTTCTCTGGAAGAATAATTGAACGAAATATTATCCAGTTAAAATACATCTGTTTATATTTTATTTATGTATTCCGTTGCTCAGATCAATATGCTCCCCTCAATTCTAGTTCATCTGAAAACCACAATACGTAGATTGATATGAACGAAATCAATTTGCAGAATGTTAATGATTATTTATAATCAGGTGATACGTCACTACGTCTGAATGTTCTCTTGGAACGGTGGCCAAAATCCACTCCACTCTCCACCATCCGTTATTCCTACTCATATTTAAATTGTGTTAATGGAACTACATGAACAACAATTATTTGACATGGAAGCTGTAAAACATATGTGCTAAATTCAGCCGTAGATATGTTGAGTACCGTCTGATGAGATGGTGTCTGGGGTCGTCAAGTGAAAAAGAGCAAACACGTAGTTCAATTTTATAACAAGGTTATCTACAGATGTGCACAGTTTCGGGTTGTAACCGTGCATATCAATTTTTAAATTTGCATAAATCAGACAACATTTTGATATTTTTAAGAACTACTAGTACTTATCGAATTTAAATTGAATTTTAGTACTTGCATACAAACCACAGACTTCAAACCACAGATGTACAATCAAATTTTGTTTTAATATTTATGTTCTCTGTTAGTATTATAATAATACTATCGACCAGATTGTTTGAAATTGTTCGAAAAAAACATTTCCTGTTTCCATTGCATATGCCTTCTATACGCTCAGCACACGGGAAACCTTTCACAACCTTCTTTGATCATATTTTAATATGCAAGAATTATATTATCAATGCTTAATAAAAGTTATTGTTCCAAAATGTACGGCAATGCAGCATCATTTCAAGCAACATTACGAATTCGAATAATTCATTGGATAGCATAACCTTTCTTGTGAATAAGTGGAGAGTCTTCTTTCTTAGCGTCTGTGTTTTCGCTATTATATTTTTCAGTGCTTGATTACTAGTATATTTTGTTTTTGTTATGTATTTGTATATGGCAAAACAGGACTTTTTTTATAGCTTATTCGAATTGTCAGCAAAGGTCCATGCAATCAAAGCACGAGTTTTAAAATTCTTCATATTGTGCGGAATCACGATTAATGCTATACAGTGAAATACAAATACATGTAATGTTAAATACATAATATTTGAATGCCAGTATATTAAAACTCGAAATCGTTTCACCATTGCCAAACATCAAACATGAAAAAAACAACACAGGTTACTAGTAAAATGGCGTTGACAGGACGGGAGGGTGACGCACCCTAAGTCTGGCCCTAGGATATGGGAAATCTGGAACGTTCACCTCACACAAACCACTTTTTGCCATGCTAATATAAGTCATGGGTGTAGACTATGTTCCTGACGGAGGGCGAAGGGAGGCATTAGTCAATGCATGCGCAGAATAGATGTTTTAGATGCCCAAGAATACGACTAGAAATATAGATGATTAGATGCAACCAAAAAGTAATGTATATTTTTCATTAATTTTTCGGATTTTCCAATCGCCATTAGCTTGTTGTGTTTGAGCCTATCGGTTCATTTCACCGATTCCACCACGGCCAATCTATCACTTTGATAACATAACCATACAAAGTACTCTCAGTCACAGGAATTTGGCGCCCTCTCCGTAGGATTTGTCGCAAAATCAATCGCTGAGTGCGCAGTGACCCACGAATGGCGAAGAACCAAATGTAGGATATGTGACGAAGTCAGGATGGGCGGCCAAGAACTCTCCCATAGTGACGTCACGCTGAAACCTTTCACTATAAACAATCCAAAAATGTATTTCGCCTTGATTTCAATCATGTCATGTCGAATTTCAGAGGAATAAAACAATTAAAAAAAATTGTAAGGATGTTTCCAGTAATTAATAATCATCCAGAACATTGCCGTTGAGGACGTTGACCACACAAGTCGGTTTTACATATTCAAACAATGTAACATTACTGCTGCTTTTGGTACATGCCTGGTTCTTCTTTTCAGACCCAAGTTTGATTGCGGATTGTGGATGTACAATCTGGGGAGAAACAGTAAAATGAAGTGTCTGACTATATTCTATATTGAACATAGTCTTGTACTACCCAGGCTTTGTGAGGGAGATGTACTATGAATAAATTATGAGATTGCCAGAATGTCACTTTTAAGATTATTGGTGTTGAAAGACATACAAAGCACAGTTGGTGGAAATAATGTGTTGATAAATTATATACTTCATACTCTGGCCAAGTAATTGAAAGTGAAACTAGCCAAAAATCACGTTAAGGCTGATTTCTTGCATTAATGAGAGACAATCTATGGTATTACTGGCCATGATTTCCCACTGTAAACTTTACCGAAACTGGCTTAAATGATTCAATATGTAAAAATATAATTATGTAGTAAGTGGTTCTGGAGTTTGATTGGTTGACAGTGTCAACAAATTATGGCAATTAAAGAATGATTTGTTGATGGGGAAATTATGTTGACTTTATCTATAAGTAGCTATATATAAACACCATGGGGAGTTATTTGGGGCTATGGCCTCACAACATCCTTCTGTCCCAAAGTACTTTCCACACATAGACTATTGGTATATAAATACATCTGTATTTATTTCTATTAACAATAAAGTAATAATAAACAATATTAGATACAATAAATTAAACATCACATCAAATACATTACTTATTAATGGTATTGACCTTATTCACATCACATTTCCCAAAAGATGCAAAAATTACATTTGCTGGAAGAAATTCATTGATGAGGATCATTTTTGATGAGATACTGTAAAGCACTTTAAAACAGCTACATTCCATTTTAGTGAATTTGACTCAATGCATGAATTAACAGAATCTTAATTTAGCTAAAGTGGCAACAATTTCATTTTGAGAATATACTTTATTCTAAATTAGTGAAATTACAGATTAGCTGAATTAGCGAGCTAAAAAGAACTGTTTTACAGTATGTTTCAAGGATTGTAGTAAGAGTACTGGCAACACCATCACAATCGTAGAATGAGGTAGAAATGAAGTAAGAACACTAACACCATTGCAAATCAACAAATTAAAGAACTATCATCATTCTTCACAATATAGTAATTCAACACAGTGTGCAAAAGTGTTCAACATAAATACCAATTGTCTAGTTGGTTTATGGCTAACAAAAAAAGAAAATGTTCAGTCCATGCATGTCATCTACTAACTAGTTCTCTTTTATCTATTGGCCTATTGCTGAATTAAAATTGCAACTAGAGACAATTTTAATTAAAGCTATAGCAATATAATAATATCATAGAACCTTGAAATGGAGAACAAGAACTTTATATCTGTGGCTATTTACTGCTTCA